GTCAGTAATAGCGCTTTGTTACTGACCTAGAAACGTAATTGTTCTCTGCTCCTAAGCTTACACTAAGTAGTAAGTGTAGAAATTATTTAAGAGCAAACAAACTGTTATTACTGCATTTACACAAAGGGAATATCTGTGTGTGTGTGTGTGTTTTTTTTCTTTCAAAGCAAGAAGTGATGGAAAAATATGAAACCTATCGAGACTCGGTTGACTGCTTGCCTTCATGTCAGCGGGAGGTGCAGTTATATGAAAAGAAAATACAAGACCTTGCAAATAGTAGGGAAAAACTAACCAGTAACTTAAAGGAGGTTGGTATTGTATGGAATTTTTATCTTTATTATGTCATAGTTTATTATTCTTTCTTAGGTTTGCTTTTATTTTTCGTTAGTATTTTCCTAATGAAAAGTAGGATCATACAACAAGTAATACATGTAGCGATGTATGCTAGGGAATCAAACACTTCCTTTTTGAACATAGCAGTAATAAAACCCATTTTAACCTTCACAGTTGTTGCCAAGTATATTTTGAAAATAGTAATGGAATTTAAAATTTTTCTAATAGTTGGAAATGATGTTATAATCAATAAGCATAAAGTTCCAACTTTGTGCCCAGCATTGTGTCTAGGCCCTGTAAGGAGACTTTAAAGTTTATGACATAGTCCCTGTCCTAAAGAACGAGAGCTAATGCTAACATTATTCAAGTTTCTCAGGCTAGAAACTTGAACATCATTTTTTACTTTTTCATCATGCCAATCACCTGTCCCCAGGATCACTAATCCTGCATTTGTATAAAATATCTTTTTGTTTTATTTTTAAGGAAAGTAAAGTTAGAAGGTGAAAGTGTCTGAGCTATTCTTTTCCAACAATATAGTCCCTTTATCTGCCATCAAAAGAGTCACTGAAAAAAGATTGAGATCCACTGAGTTTAACTGTTTCTAGGGTCTGCCCTTTTCTCTTTATTCCTGTTAGCTTAGTTCAGACTCTAACCCCGCTCGGCTCTAGCCTCGTAGCTGATCTTCCTGATATACTTCTCTATTCCAGTCCTTGCTAATAGTATATCATGGCAAAACTGCTGGACTAACACTAACAGCACTCTTGTTGGCATGTTCTCTCTCAGGACCCATCATGCCTTCCTCTTGTCTCCTTGGCTCAGTCTGCATTCTTCTGCCTGGCTTCCAGGGCTTATATAGTTTTATCTCATTTTAAAATTGTATTTTATTATAACTCATCCTAGGAAATATTCTTTTGTCTATAAATCCTAATTGACTGCATTGACTTTAAATACTTCTTGTAAAATACAGAGCATGAACTTGGAGGACCAAATTGAGAGTGAAGAGTCAGAACTGAAGAAATTGAAGGCCGAAGAAAATTCATTGAAAAGACTGATGATTGTAAAGAAGGAAAAACTTGCCACAGTACAATTCAAGATAAACAAGAAGCATGAGGATATCAAGCAGTACAAACGCACAGTAATTGAGTATGAAGTCATTTTCAGTTTAATGTATTAAAAAGTAATTAGGAAAAGCTAATACGTTTTTCCCCAGGCTTCCAAAACTACTACATTTTCTACAAGGTATTCCACCTTTAGGTGACTAAAACAGATGAGTTAATTATGAAACTGATCTGATAATGCTGTGTCCAGATTTAGAGATGCTTTGGCTCCTAGTTCCGTGCCACTCCCTGCCCCCTGCACTCCCTTTCCGGATATCACAATTCCAATTCCTTAGCATAATTCTTCAAAAGTGTTCTGGTGCTAATGCTTGTCTCAGTGCACTTTCGAGACGGTGCTCCAGAGTTGCATTAAAGTGAATCACCTGGTCCATCTTATAGCTCAGCTGGTCTGTAGAGTTAGAGCGTCATATTTTGTGGAAGAGTCTTACTTTTTTTTTAATACTCCTCTGAGCTTTTTGGTTTTGTTTTTTAACAGTATGTTGAGGTGTTTTCACTGGTAGGATCTTCTTCCCCTAAGTAGTAAGAAGGTGTTTTTTAGAGTCAGTGTCTCAGATATACCTATGAGATGTCATTACTTCAACTCCTAAAAGCCACATAGGGATCTTCTGAGTATTTCCTTCTCTCTTCCTTATGCAGATGAAGAAAAAGGGCAGAACCTAAGGATTTTGGTATTTGTTGTCAGGCTGCCTTCCTGAAAAGTTATACCGATTGACATTCCCACGAACAGTACATGAGCATTCACAGCTGGGGATATGTAGTAACTTAAAATTTCCATTTTAAATCATAGCTTTTGGGTAAAAGGGTTCACTACATGCTGTGACATGATTATAGCACCACACATGGGGCTTGCATCTCTTTGCTTTTATATCTAGAGAAAAGTTTCAGGTTTGTTAAGCAAATACACATGACCACTTTGGAATCACAATGAGAGCTAAATGTTTGCCTATTTAGATGCTTAAGAAGAATTATAATTTAGCTGTCTCGTTTTCCTTTAGGGACTGCAATAAAGTTCAGGAAAAAAGAGGTGCTGTCTATGAGCGAGTAATCACAATTAATCAAGAAATCCAAAAAATTAAATTTGGAGTTCAACAGCTAAAAGATACCACTGAAAGGGAGAAAATGAAATCTCAGGTGAGTATGTGTTCATAAAAAATTAATACCAGATAATCTCATGAGTTTAAAATGTCAATTATGTCACCCTCATTATGAAGGTTTTATTCATTCTCTGGAGTAGAAATTGACCCCACAGGTCCTTTACTTTTATTTCATTTGTAGCACCTTTTCCATTACCCTGGTGTAGTTTGCATGTAAGTCTCCCCCATAGCTTTTTTCTTACTTGCCTTTTTCCCCCCAAAAGCATCTAGCAGAATACTATGCTTTGCAGTAATAATAGTTGCTCCATAAAGGTTCTAAATTTTTTTGGTAAATGAATTTAACTAAAAGCATCTAAAATGTTTCTGCATTATGTGTGTGTGTGGGGGGGGGTGTATCTTTTTGTTTTTTTCCCTTAATAAAGGTATCTCAAAAGTATTTCATAGCATCAGTGGTAAATGCAACCGCTTAGATTGATCCCTGTATGTTGAGATGTCTGATGACATCTTTACCGTAATTACCTAAAATTACTGAGTACTTTAATTTCTTGCTTCTTTCTAGTGTGTTTATCATGTTGTAAACAATCTTAAGTTTAATAAGGACAGGCATCTTGTCTTCTCCATTTTTATCTTTTAAAATGCTAGTACAATGTCAGGTTTACTGTTTCTGTCCTTTTTTAATTGCCGGTGTCTCACACAAGTAGTTTATTCCTGACAATATTGTTGTATCTCCATTCTCTCCTTCACTTCTGAAGTTTGACTTATATCCTCAAGATTGTCCCACATGGCTCTGCCGCAGGTCACTAATGATAGCCCCTTATCATGTAAAATCCCTTGGCCTCTTGCTTTTCTCTTTCTTGACCAAATGACATTGAAACATCTGATACCTGATAGATACTTAAACACTTGCCATCACTACCTTCCACCTTCTACATTCGATTTGCAAGGATTCCTAATGCTAAAAGAGCCACAGTAGACAGTCCCCTCACCTGTTTGCAGAAACTCTTATCCCCCTGAAAAATTGGACAGCTTGCCCTTGCACACGTAGGTATATACATATACACAAACTCAGGCTTATCTCAAGGTTACTTTCCAAGGAAGACAGGGAGGGAAAGAAGGAAAGGAAGAAAGAAAAACAAAGTAGAAGAAAATAAAATGGTGTGGTTTCCTTCCATGGCCTACCCAATACACTGTCCTGCTTTTCTGTTCTTTTCTATTCTTCCTTTTCTTTCTGTATTCCAACTACTTTTTCATTTTCCTGCCCCTTAACCCTCTGATCATCTCTAGAGTAGAGTTAGAAAAACCTTAGATTTCTAATCCTACTTGTTAACCAGTCAAATCAAATACTTCCTTGTGATTACAGGATCTAGGTACGGTTAATGAGTCAGTTACTAGTGTAAGCCCCCTTTGTCTGTTAGTCATAGAAGATGCCCAGACCTGCCTTATATCACTGTTAGTTTTGTACAAGTATGTCTCATCAATAACATTTTAAGTTCTTGACAATAAATATCATGTTTGTTTTTTAACTTTCATGTACCATGTCAAATCCGGTCTAGAACAATGCCTTAATATGTAATATACAATTTAAAGGTCATCTAGCATAGTGGTTCTTAAAACTAGCTGTTTGTTAGAATTTAATGAGAAATTAAAAAATGAACAAAAACAAACCACACGCAAATATACTGAATTAGAATTTTCAGCAAGGGGGCCCATTCACCTGTATTTTTTTAACGTGGCCTTTCAGAACCACTGATAGCTTCTGCTTAATTGCTTTCAAAGGTATAGAGCTCATAACCACACAAGCTGCTCTACTAGGACAGCTTTTATTGTTAAAATTTTATTTCTTATTTTGAGTTTAAAATCTTCACTTCACTCCCCTAGTGAGCCAAGGTTTTCTCTCTGAAATAACCCTATGCCCTCATCTACTTAATGACCCTTTAGACATCTGAGGAGAGTGCTTGTGGCTTCTCCCAGCCTTCTGTTATCTAAGTTAATTAGCCCCAGTTTTCTAGCCATTCTTTATATAGCTTAATTTTCA